GCCGCCCATGTTACATTAGACGACCGATTGTTACTACTACCCTAGGCGTTTTCTTACCAAAATAACACACCATGACTATATGTAATTAAAGATATAAAACTAAACCAGCCCCAACCAAGAAAATACACCTAAACTCATCAACTTTTCTTTCTCGAAAATTCGTGGTATTCGTACCAACTTCTGCAGTGTAGAGTCTTTCACTTCGAAAAGTCTCCGAAAATATCTTCACTCTTCACTCCCCTCCTTTGGTTTCCCCATTCCTGGCTATCTTCCTCTCTTTAGGGAGGACTCAAATTATTCACATGCATGACCTGCGAGTTTATGTCCGCGAACATCTGCTGGACAGGAAGCTCCTGATCCTTTCACACGAACGTTGATGTTACCCAAGGCTCTATCATGGTTCCTACGCTATTTCTGATCTTCATCAATGAATTTCCTCATGTCATCAGATCCCAATTAGACATTTATGCTGAAGACACTACCATTTAATCCTGTCTCAATAACAAATCTGTCCGAGCTGACAAACTTAAACTGGCCGCTGTTCTTGAAAAGGACCTCCAATCTGTGGCAGGAAACGGCTCGTAAATTTTAATGCCTCCAAAACGAAACTGCTCTCATTTAAACACCATAAAGAAAATGTTCTTCCCACCATCAGCATGGCTGATGCTAGACTCATGGAGAGCAAAACATTGCGCCTTCTTGGCTTCACGTTTTCTACTGACTTGAAACTGAACGACTACATTGAATCAATACCTGCATCTAATGAAAGGAAATTTGGGTCACTGTATCGTGCCAGAAGTCCATTTTGCACATTTTTACATCTACCATTCATTTGTGCATTTATTACTGTCGTCATATCTGGTCTGTTGCTCCTGCTACTCATCTCGAGTTTCTTAACAAAATCCAAAGAAAGATCTGCAATATAATTGATCTTGACTTGGCATCTGCACTTCAGTCACTTTCTCACCAACGTGATATGGCTTCCCTCTTTTCTACAAATATTTTCATGGCAACTGCTCTGACGAGCTTTTTCTCCCTATATCCAGTCTTTTCACTCACTTTCACTTTCCATAACCCCCTCTGTGTATATATATATATATATCCTTAATGTTTTCCTCTCTCTGTCTCTCTGTCTTTCTCTCCCTCTTTTTCTCTCTGACTCTCTCTCTCTCTCTCTCTCTCTCTCTATATATATATATATATATATATATATATATGACATCCTTAAAAATCTCTTCCTTTGTCTTTCTGCCTTTCTCTCTCTCTCTCTGTATATATATATATATATATATATATATATATATATATATATCCTTAATTTTTCCTCTGTCTGTCTGTCTGTCTCTCTCTCTCTCTCTCTCTCTATATATATATATATATATATATGACATCCATAATCTTATCCTTCCTCCGTCTGTCTGTCTCCCCCTCTCTCTATGACATCCTTAAAAATCTCTTCCTTTGTCTTTTTCTGCCTTTCTCTCTCTCTCTCTCTGTATATATATATATATATATATATATATATATATATATATATATAATCTTTTCCTCTGTCTGTCTGTCTGTCTGTCTGTCTCTCTCTCTATATATATATATATATATATATATATATATATATATATATTTATATGAGGGAGAGAATGATGTTGGAGTGTAATGACGTAAAATGTTTATAAAAGAAATCGAGAAACAAAAGAAGAAAGCTATAAAAAGTTTAGGCAATGAAAGTTGGAGAGGAAAAAGAAAAACGATGCAAAACGGGAAGATTAGAGGAAATTTACGATCAGGTTGGTTGGAAACGTGTGGTTTACAGGAAGCCACTGATGTACGTGGGGCGGGGAAAGAGAAAGGTGGGGAAAGGATAGTCATCCGAGGGGCCAGGGTGAGAGGCGGGCATAGAAAGAAAGAAAAATGTGTAAGTGATACACTTTGATTTATGCCTTTTTGATCGCCAGCGCGAAGTGTCATAGTTGGGCGGCCATACGTACAGAAATCCTTTGTCCCTTCTTATGCGTGTACAAATCTACACACGGACGGACAGACAGACAGAGAGACGTGTGGGTGCATAGCAGCCAGCGTTGTGGTGCTAATGACTTTGTAATTCGTTTATGAATGGCGTCCAAACAAAGTTTATGGGATACCAATTTTTTAAGAAAATCTGAAGAAAAAAGTTGAAAACGAGACGAACACACACACACACACACACACACACACAGAGAGAGAGAGAGAGAAGAGAGAGAGAGAGAGTAAAAAACAAAAGATATAAACAGAGAAAAATGAATAAAAGAAAGAAAGAAAGGGAATAAGCGTTTAACGACTGTTTCAGTGAAATAGAAAATGTAGACAATTTCAAATCTTTTCATTTGTACCCACTTACTTTTTAAATAACGACCAGCGTTCATATTTACGATTTATTGCAATCTTTTGTTAAAGATGTTAAGCTCAAATATTTAACGATGCAACAGGGGAATTATATTGTCGTAGAACTTACCATGAGCTTATTCAATCATTAACTGAAGAATTAAGATTCATGAGAAAATTCAAATAGGAAAACTGTCAGATTCACACGGGTTAAAATTATTTAGAGTAAACTTTACAGAAAATGGTTCCGGGCTGCTATAAAAATATATTGGGTCAGAAGAAAAGTTCGTGACGTATTTTAAGTGAAATTAGAAGACTATTTAGATATGTGTTCATAAATTGATTCAATCACACATATGCTATTTTGTTCCACTACTACTTCCACTGGGAGATTGGAATCATTAAAGCCTCAAAGATGGCGACCATCTTTGAGGCTTTAATGATTCCAATCTCCCAGAAATTTGCATCTTCGTTGGTGATGGATTACTCTATGTGGTTTTTACAGTCTTCCGGAGATTTGAAGTTTTAAAAAGAGAATTTTGTAAGGGACGAAATAAGTAGTAATCCGAAGATATCCGGTTAGGTTAGTACGGAGGGTGTTGTAGGACATCACAGCCAAGTGTACTAATTTCAAGGATATTAAAGTGAAAGTAAACACATTGATCTCGGCGAGAATTAGAACTTGGCCTGCTAGTCTTGATTTTTACGCCGACAAACACTACGCCAGGCGCACATCGGTTAGCTTCTTCTCACGAACCACTTCTTTGTGGAACAGAGTCCCAAGTGGATGCTTTCCCCAATCACTATAATCTTAACCTTTTCAAGTCTAGATACAACCGTTCTATTTCCTATATAATTTTGTAATCTACACTTCATGCAACCACTTCATTCAGTAACCCTCTAACTTGAGTGGGCTTTTGGCCTTGTATGGGTGAACAGTTAATAATAATTTTTTTTAAGCATTCAACCCCAAGCAAGGCGATAAGCCACTAGCATGCAAAGGGTTTCAGAGTAGTAGCGAGAACAAAGAGGAGTGATAGAGGAAAGAATAAAGAGACGGTTAGGGGATAGATCAGGGTATCTGGAGACGTCGATTGACGTTACATTTGAATAATTGCAGATTATAGCCATCAGGAAAACAAGAAATGGAGAAAGAGTTCCACAGTCGAGAAGTGCGAGACATGGAGCTATTGGAGTAGAAGTGACGACTACATTTAACAGTTTCGACAGTGAAAGGTTGAGAGCGAGATGCCAGCCTAGTTGAGCGCTTAAATTCATGAAGTCTGAAATCAGTGAAAGCAGCTCATCGGAGCAGTTACCGTGAAAGTATTTGTAAAAAAGACAGAGGGAGGCAACGGCATGTCTGTGAGAAAGCGACTGCAGACGAGATGCCAGATCGGGGCCAATTACATTGCATATCCGTCTTTGGATTTTATCAAGAACCTTGAGACAATTAGAAGGGGCTCCAGATCATATATGACAGCAATACGCCATGCAAGGGTTGATTTGTAGATGTGAAGGATCGGCTCCGATGTGGTGGACGAAGCTATTGACTCAATGTGTTCTTTCCATCTCAGGTCAGTGGACAATGTGAGACCGAGCAGTTGCAAAGAGGTGCTCTCGTGGAGTTGAGCGTCAGACATTCTAATGGGAAGCAGCGATGGTTCTCTCTGGGGAGTAATAGTTTTGTTTTTGAGGCATTAAAATTAACCAGCCAATACCTGCCCCAATCCACAACCGATTGGAGGTCCTTTTCAAGACAAACGGCCAGGTTAGTTTTGTCGGCGACACTGGATCTATTTTGGAGGCAGGAGTAAATAGTAGTGTCGTCCGCATAGATGCCGACTTGGGAACCTATGACATCAGGAAGATCGTTAATGAAGATAAGAAACAGAGTAGGGCCTAGGATAGAGTCTTGGAGAACACCTGAGTTCGTGGGATAGGAGCTGGAGGAGAATCCGTTGAGAAGGATCTTATATATATATATATATATATATATATATATATATATATATATATACGAAATCACAAAAAATTCACAATAGCACAATTTCCAACCCGACTTCGGTACATCTACAGGTGGCTATTTTCTTTAAAACCAGAAAAGCACTTGTATCGAGAATTAATAATAGCAATTTTGGTTCGTCGACTGTAAGTGGTCAAGATAAAAGAAAAATTTAAAACAGGAGGCAAATAACATCTTTGCACAGAGTCTCATTCATATACAAATACCTGTGTGCACATGCATATTTTCCTTGTGTATACTTTCGATAGTATGTAGATATATATGGTACTGGCGGGCAAAATTACCTATAATAGAATTGGTAATGTTTCGGAATGCTTTTAAGCGAAATACAAAAGGAAAAAAAAATAAATGAAAAAATATGCGTAGTACGTAGAGAGGAAAAACACGAGAATTATTCTACGAAGTCTGTCTAACCACTCAATTTACGGAAACAAAAGAAAAAAATACTTGTTTTCTATTTGCGAAGATGTTAATCTATGTCTGCGGTCAAACGGCCCTCGATACTAGAAGTGAGAAAATCTGTGAAAGAGACAGTCTTCAATTATCACCACTAATTTGCATTGTAGTCTCTCGTCGAGGACTATATTATTCGACGTCATAACTCGAACGGAAAATGTCTATTCTTTCTTCTTCTCTTATAATCGCACTATCTCGCTTTTTCTGTCTTTGCGCGAGCAAACACACCGACTTGTTTATAGATGTATACTTGAGAAAACGGAAAGTGATCATAGCTATTAACAAAGAAACGTTCGAGTTTTTCATGATACGTAGAGAACATACTAGCACAGATATTAACGCATACAAACATACACACACGTGTATATATATATATATATATATATATATATATATATATATATATATATATATATATATCATTGAATACGACAATGTGCTTTTATTTAGTTTTTTTATACAATTTCTCATGCGATTTAATAATTTTTTTCTTTCGGATGATAAATTATATAAAACTGTCCGAATGTTCTTTTTATCCAAGCGCTTTCGACTATAAATTTAGCCATTTTCAAGGATTAAATATTTTTAATGTTAAATAAGAAATAGTTTTTTGCATGTATGTTTTATAAAATGTTTTCATTTTTCAAAACACAGTCAAGATATTGTGTCCATGTTCAAAGTTAATATTAGGAAGTGTTGTTTTTTTTTTATTAACAATTTTTTCCATTAAGGAATTGTATTCCTGATCACTCAAAATTCGTAAATAATTATATAGGCCACACTACAACATGTTTGACACGCAGACTCACTCTACACCTTTTTGACCATAGCTCAATTAGATCTCATTTAAATATTCATGGAGACCTACCGGACACTAGTCGTAACATACTTGTTGACAATACTAATATAATAGCATCTTCTACATGCAAAAAAAGGCTAAAAAAAAGTGGAAGCCTTATTAATAAAAATAAAAAACAAATTGAGAAATTGTATAAAAAACTAAATAAAAGCACCTTGTCTGTCGTATTCAAATGTGCATGAAAGAAGTATTGCTGCCTAAATACAAATATATATATATATATATATATATATATATATATATATATATATATATATATATTGTGTATTTGGACAGGAATCCATCTTTTATACAAGTTTCGTTGAAAACGACTGACAAGGTATTGTGGTTGAGTTGAGAATTTTCCTCTTTTCGGGACATAAATTATAAGAAAAATTGTCCGAATGTTTTCCAAGCGCTTTCGGCTATACTTTTTAGCCATTATCAAGGATGAATTTTAATTTACTTTTAGCTGAATATATGGATTGTTTTATGTATATATCTAGAGTTATAATAATGTTTTATTTACCAAACACGAGCAGCACATTGTGGCCGTGTTCACAGTTCATATTATTGTTGACTTTTTCATTTTTATTAATAATACTTCCATTATTTTAGCTATTTTGTACATGCGGATGGTGCTATTATATTTATATTATCAACGAGGATGTTATGGATACAGTTTGGTAGGTCTTCATGTGTATTTAAATGAGACCTAATTGAGCTATGGTCAATGAGATTTAACCTGAGTCTTCTTGTTAAACATGTAGTATACCCAATATAATTATTTACAAATTTGAATTGTTGAGGAATACAACTTCTTTATAGACTAAAATGAGAATTGGAAAAAAGCACTTAATACTTAATATAATGATACTTATTTATAAAATAGACTTTTACAGAGAAGGATTAAAATTAAAACTTTGTTATTTACAATTATTTTTCTTAGAAAAATAATTTGTTGTTTTCCCTTTCTTTTCTTTTTTTTTAAATTTGGTAGATTTTCTCCTGTGCATTCCTCATGTTGTTTAAGGGGCATTTTTCTGGTGTGGGGTCCGTAATTTGTTGGCAATGCACTGTCATTCTTTGCTAGAGTAACTGGCCTGATTATATATATATATATATATATATATATATTAAGAAATGGACAAAGTCCGACAATTTATTTATTAAAGACATTTTTATGTTTAACGTTCTTTTTTATAGATACAAGTATTTAAGTAAATGCTCTGTTTATAATAAACAGTATTAAATAACATTTACTGGCCTGAATGTCCGAGAAATTTTCATAGAAAATATTCGTCCTTTGACAGGATTCGAACCTGCATCCTATACGGAACCGTCATTTACGCTGACGTGCCTTAACGACCAGCCACAAAGGAGCGTTCGGTAGACATGGTCGAATTTACTGCTTATAAACTTCAATCTTCCATGAATCTCGTACATTCATAACTGCTCTGGCGTATCAAATGTAAACAAATGACGTCATATATTAAGAAATGGACAAAGTCCGACAATTTATTTATTAAAGACATTTTTATGTTTAACGTTCTTTTTTATAGATACAAGTATTTAAGTAAATGCTCTGTTTATAATAAATTCATAGAAATAAATAGATTCATTCTCGTATGCACTTTTTCCCTATTTCACCTTTCTTAACAGAATTACTACTCTCCCAAACAAACGTACAGAACAGTATCAACAAATCAAAAGAAAATGGTTGAATCCGTCAACACAGCAATAAAAACAATATCTCCACACGTGACAGTAATTGACGTAATTTCAATTAACAGTATGAAAATAGCTTTCTCTAAATTCTTCCAGTTGCTAAGGACATTTTGTTTTTGTTATTATTAGTTATTTTGTTTAATAAATTCATTTCGTTTTTTGCCTTGAAAAAGTCCACATTGGACGAAACGCGTCGGCAACTATTACAGCTTTCCTATTGTCATTTATATTTATAAATATTGTCTTTTTCTCGAGGTTAACCCTGAGAAATTTTTCATATATATATATATATATATATGTGTGTGTGTGTGTGAGAGAGAGAGAGAGAGATAGAGATAGATAGATAGATAGATAGATTGAGGAGAGAGGGATATATATATATATATATATATATATATATATATATATATATATATAGAGAGAGAGAGAGAGAGTGTGTGTTTATGTGTATATGTCGGCGTTGTTTCCCAGCATTTTTCTGCGTGTGCATATCTTCACCTAACTTATATGTATATTCATATATCTGTTAGTATTACGGGTTTATAAATTCATGTTTTTTTATGTTTTCTTCTACGCGTGTGTCTAGATACTGTTGCTGTTTATGGATACACTGATGTTTCCTTTTGTTTTTCAAACTAAGAATAATGTTTACTTAAGTGCCTGTATATTTCTGGGTGCCCGAGTGTGTCCGACTGAAAAAAAAAAGTGATTTTTCTCGTATTTTTTTTCTTTTTTATTTGTTTGAATTCATACTGGCAAATCAAACCAGTGGGTTAAAGAGAATATTTGGATGAATTTTCTTATTTCTTTTTCTGATACACCATCAAATATTTTTCTTTTTTTCTTAAATTTATTCTTATTGCAAGTGTACTTTAAGTAATTTAGTCAGTTTCAGTGACTGAATTCAGTTGTTGGTCTGATTGCAAATGCAGGATGAATATTTAGGTGTCCACATGATCGTTCTTTTGTGTTTGACAAAAGTTTTAAGTTCGTGGGAGAATGAATGTCTTTTCGTATTCCGCAACGCTCATCGGTGTATGTGTATGTGTGTATGTCTGTGCCTGTCATCACGTTTAAGGGTGTGCTCTTCCTTGTATGCTTGTCAGCTCCTCTAGTCGTGACAAGGCGCGTTTTCTTAATCCATTCATTTACTTGAAATGTGTGCGCATGCGTGCTCTTGAGTATCTGCCATTTTGTTAAATATTTTTAGCCACTTGAGCTGCCATTTTCATGAATTTACGTCCACTTTTAGAATTTTAGACAATGCTTTTATTTCTCTTCTTTTTAAATCAAATTTCATCCTCTCAATTTGAATCTCTTATTTCCTTCTCTTTCTTTCCCCTCCTTATTTGTTTTCTTTTATAGACTGAAGTCACTTTTTAAAACTTTTTTTTTCTTAAATTTGAGTTACCGACTTTTAAGTCAGTTTTTGAAATATCACTTCTTCATGGTTTTGTATTGTTTTTTTTATGTTTTCCCGTCTCGTCTTGTTAGTTGAACGTTACATTTTAGTAACTTTCTCTTCATCCACCACATCTCCTTATTTCTGTTTTTGCAAGCAACCGATTTAATACCTTTCGCCATTTCTGCCAGTAATTACGGGGTTTGAGTTTTCCCTTGGCTGGCCATCAGTCATCAGTTTAGAAGAAAAAAGAAATAAAAGTAGTTTCTCTTGACGTCGTTGTCGCTTTTGTTCGATCAGGCAATAATTTCAGATGAATAAGCATTCATTTATTTATTTTTGTTTATATATTTATTTTTTATAAAAGCCAAGTCAATGGCTATCTCAAACCAGTCTTTGGTCCGAGCTGTAATCTATCATACGGGAACAAAATGTATCGGCAACGAGGAGATTTGGCCATCTCCCTCGCCAACCCACAAATTTCGCAAAAACAAAAGTAAAAATGACGAACAAAAGGAGTTAAAAACATGTTGATGATATTTCAACAAAGTGCAGAGACGTGAATGCGAGACGAACAATCAGAAAAAATAAAGTTGTGAAACAAACGAATTTGCCTGAGGGGGGAATTGAAATTAAAATCGTTTTTTTTTTTCTCTTTTTATTTTGTTTTATTTTTTGTTTTTTATTAAACTAAGTTTGTTTTTTTCTTCCTTCTCCCTCTTACTTTCTCTTTCTATCTTTTACTTTCTCTTTCTCTCTCGCGTTCTTTCACTCACTCACTCACTCACTCACTCACACACTCACTCACTCACACACTCACTCACTCACTCACTCACTCACTCAATTTTTCGCATCCAAACTACTGCATTCTTTTATTTCTTTCTTATCTGTTTGGAATTTTTTGAATTGTTTCGTTTTCCGCCTGTTTAAATTTTTATATTGTTAATGTTTTTATGTAGTTCTTTCTTTCATTCTATGTCAGTCTGTTCGTTTCAACTTATCTATCTATCTATCTATCTATCTATCTATCTATCTATCTATCTATCTATCTTAGCCCGTTCATTATCCATCTTTCAGTCTATTAACCTGTTTTAATCTATCTATCTATCTATCTATCTATCTATCTATCTATCTATCTATCTATCTATCTATGTCAGTCTGTTCATTATCTATCTATCTATCTATCTATCTATCTATCTATCTATCTATCTATCTATTTTAGTCTGTTCATTATCCATCTATCTGTCTATTAGCCTGTTTTAATCTATCTATCTATCTATCTATCTATCTATCTATCTATCTATCTATCTATCTATCTATCTATCTGTCATCCTGTTCAGATGTATCAGCCTGTTCGTTTCTTTCTATCAATGCCAATCTCTTCATATCTATCTATCTATCTATCTATCTATCTATCTATCTATCTATCTATCTATCTATCTATCTATCTATCCGTCCGTCCTGTTCAGATGTATCAGTCTGTTCGTTTCTTTCTATCAATTCTATCAATCTATCTATCCATCCATCTCTTCATCTATCTATTCATCAGCCTGTTCAGATGTATCATCTATTCATCTATCAATATCTATCTATCTATCTATCTATCTATCTATCTATCTATCTATCTATCTATCTATCTATCTTAGTCTGTTCATTATCCATCTGCCTATTAGCCTGTTTTAATCTATCTATCTATCTATCTATCTATCTATCTATCTATCTATCTATCTATCTATCTATCTATCTATCCGTCAGCCTGTTCAGATGTATCAGCCTGTTCGTTTCTTTCTATCAATGCCCATCTCTTCATATCTATCTATCTATCTATCTATCTATCTATCTATCTATCTATCTATCTATCTGTTCGCGTCTTTCTTTCTAAAATATTTTGAACTTCCAATCATTCATATTCTAATCTCTACTTATCCCCACATCCCACTCTTATTTTCATCCACCCTGTCTCCTTTTCTTCCTCCTCACTTATACTGTTTGTCTGATTGCATTTGTCTGCTTCAGCATCTTTTAAACAAAATTCCATTCTCACTGCATTTCGCTCTCCGCCTTCGCTTACATGTCTTCTTCAGTGTCTAACGTGGCTTTTTTCTTCGCAGCTCTCGCTAAAGAACTTATTGCTCTGCATAATGGATCTTTAAGGGAGCAAGCATTTAAAAACAGTTAAGCAACAGACATTAAAACATCATTTGCATGAATAGAACAAGTATTTTGTGACAATGTAAGTTTTTAGATTTAATGATAAAAAATTACGACTCTTTATATCAGATTATCTGTTAATCCTTCACTGCTCCACGAGATCTTCCGACGAATATCTTTATCTTTGTTGGCTTTATCACTGTTTTTGCGCTGATATGTTCTTTTTGGCTTAATCTAAAATTCCACGAGGAATCATCAGCAAATATTATCCACCCTTTGTTTAGAGTAAAGATAAGAATATTAATCTGATCAACTGGTGCAGTGAAATTGGATTTATATTATATATATATATATATATATATATATATATATATATATATATATATGTGTGTGTGTGTGTGTGTAATTATTTTCTTAGGGTTTCAAAATTTTAATATGAAAATAAAAAAAATAAGACGCGGTTTACCATTCATGATTAAAAAAAAAAATTTTAATTTAAATTTAACCAGAGCTGAAATCGAGGAAGACAAAATATTACAATATAAAATATAAAACATGAGAAGCATGTCATAAAATACAGGTAGAAAAATCAGATGGAAATAATGTCAAGCCCTAACAGACATTCACTCTCTTTACAGAGGGAGGGCTGTCTAGACCTGACATAGATCGTTTCCAATGCCTTCAAATGTAATAAAGAATGAGCATGACCAATGATGGAGAAAGATTCAATGCTGAAATTGGTGGCACAGCTTGGATTATTTATAATGAGCTTAGCAATGTGTTGTTGATCTTGTCACCAGTTTTGAACGTACTATTCCTAACCGTCTAACCAGTTCTACCATATATATATATATATATATATATATATATATATATATATATATATACTAGTATATGATTGGTGTATACGGAATGAATTCCAATAACCAACAATTACTATTTATAAAAGAGTGCTCAATACAAAGTAGAGCAGATATAATTATTTATTTAAAAAAAGTTTATAACATAAATATGTTATAAAATCACTACAAAATAGCTATTTTGTTTCAACACCCCCGGTGTCTTATCAAGTGATGATGTTGAATGTAAAATCAATGGTTTTAAAAGTTTCAAAATAATTAACGATCCTTCACATGAAGAAAACGTTGTTACAAAAGCTATTTTAAAATTGGCAGTTTTTGATTTTAATATCAAATTTTATCATATAATTTAATAATTATTGGTTAGAATAGATTCTTTTTTAATATTACCCGTATTTTAAAGATCTGAATAGCTATTATAACATGACTCCGTTGTCAAGCTTTTTGAATTTTCCTATACTTGAATTTTGATTGGTCCATCTAGTTTTTCGGGGGTGTTGAAACAAAATGGCTATTTTGTAGTGATTTTATAACATATTTATGTTATAAACTTTTTTTAAATAAATAATTATATATATATATATATATATATATATATATATATATAGGGTGTTGCAGCAAAATCCGACACTTGACAAAAGAAGAAGCCTGCGGAAGTGATGGCCTGGTTTGAATTCAAGAGGACCATGGTCATGGACATTTGGAGGAAGTGGAAGGCGTGTGAGAACAAGGACGAGTTTACTGCCAAACGAAAGGCCCTCAATATTCGTTCTTCGGCCGTTAGGACCGGCGAGTTCGTCGCCGCAATTAAGGAGACAGTCTACAATGATGGAAGCCAGAGCTACGTCAAAATTGGAACAGGCAGAACGACAGGTGGATCTGCAAAGACATCGAGGAGGTTGACGTCGTGAAGCATATGAAGTTTTCCTTCTCTATCATGCTCTTTGGCATCATCTCCAGTGAGTGGGACGTCATGCCTCCGTTCTTCTTTCAAAAGAGCCTGAAAATCACCGCTGAGATCTGCCAGGAGGTGCTGAGGAGCGTGGATGGACAAGATCGCCGTCGGACGCCCCTACATCTTCCAGCAGAACTCCACTCCTAACCACTACCACTGTCGCCAGACTTGTGGACACCCTCCTCACCCGACTGCAACTCCTTTGAATATTTCTTCTGGGGCGTGATAGAGGCCAAGACCAACAAGCACGCCCTCAACACGGTCGACTCTCTGAAGGCTACCATCGTGGAGGCGTTCGCCACTATGAACAAGGACATGGTCGCCAGAGCATGTGACTCATTTCGCGCCCGCCTTCAGGTGGCCGTCGCCGGCGGCGGCGTTTACATTGAAAAATAATGTAGTATGTAACTCTAACTGTTGCTAACTAAACTGTCGGGTCTCTGCATATACAAATCTTGTTTTTATTGCCTATTTCGTTTTCTTTTTGTCGAATGTCGGATTTTGCTGCAACACGCTGTATATATATATATATATATATATATATATATATATATATATATAGAGAGAGAGAGAGAGAGAGGATTTCGTTTCAGTAATCATGATTTAACAGTTGTGCCAAACAAAGAGTGAGTAAGTGAAAGAGAGAGAGAGAGAGAGAAAGACAGAGAGAGAAAGAAAGAGAGAGAGAGAGATGAATAAAGAAAGTGAGAAAATCTATTTAGCATCGGAGACAAATGTGTTAATGGATGTTATAGCCGTAAGAAGAATTATTTTTTTAAAGAATTGCACCATGATATTTTCCAGCTTTTCTAGTCTTCTGACACGAAGTGCTTTAGGGTTCAAGGAAAAGGTTTCGATTCTTTGTTAAATGAGGTATTAGACTGGTTACTGCATATTTAGCGCTTATTAACAGAAAAATAGATTTATTTCATATTTGAGAGATACAATTTAACGCTCAAACAATAATCTTACCTCAAGATTAGGATAAAAAGCACGTGTGCCAAATTTCTGCTCAGTCAATTCAGTAGTTGTACTGTAGATGTAATTTAGACAGAGCATCTCCACCCCAACAGGTAATAACCCAGTTTCCTCATGTTAAGATAACACAAGAATGATTCATCAAGCATTCATTTACGGTAAGGATCCATAAAAGAATTTCAACAAATATTTATGAATAAAAGAATTTTAACAAATTCAGCTTAAAAATATTCAAGGGAAAGAAAAATAGATATGAATCAGCCCTAGAAACAGCGCATATTCAAATAAATTAGAATACAAAAACGAAAACAAATCAAACAAAAATAGCAGAAAAAGAAATATAATTTGTTTCATTCTCCTACAATAATACAATAAAAACAAAAACGGAAAATATTCTTTAAAATAATTGACAAACACTTCGCTAAAACAGTAAATTATCAATAAAATTACAATCAAAATTAGTTACAGTTGCATGAATAAAACGGAGAGAATAATAATTGCGGACAATAAAAAATAATCAGCAAAATCAATAACAATTACGACTACAATAAAAATGACATGCATCAAAATAACACAATCAAATGTAACTGCGGAAACAAAGAAAACCTCCAACTTAAATGTTTAACCAATAATATAATATACAAAGCTATCATAACTCATAACATTAACACAGACAAAAAATTATATAGGCGCCACAGGAAAAAATGCCTTAAAAGAAAGATATTATAACTACAAAATGTTCTTTGGAAAAAAAATACACAAACAATTCTATAAAAATACATATAAATCTAAAATCAAATGGGAAATTATAAAATGAGCAGCCCAATAAAGTATTTGCAGTAAAAACTATGATTAGAGAGAAAGTCAGCAATAATTAGTTTTAAAAACCAAAATACACACTTAAAAAATGAAACAATGGCTAGGTGTAGGCATATAAGCAAATAATTACTTTGTTATATAAGCATTAATTAAAAATAAACAAATAAATATAATATAAACTTTAAATAAATGAAATAAATATATAAACTGAAAAAATAAATAATACAACAAATATTAAATATACACATCTATATGCGTGTGTGTATGTGCATATAAACACACACACACACACACACACACACACACACACACACACACACACACACCTACAAACAAACAAACCTAACCTCCAATAATTAATACCTCAATATATAAAACCAAGGCAAGAACACTACTAACGGTGTCCCTGCAGTCTTATCTTAAAGGAGCGGCTTATTTCTCGTTAATATTTCTTACCACAGTTCCACGGGATGGCGTACACACAGTTCTTAATCATGTTCTCTTCTATGGGTGGTCTTACTCGGAAGAGATGTCTGTGTTGAACCACTCCTGAAGGTTGCCGTGTTATATGGACCATCGATCTTTTGTATCTTTTCCGATAAGCCCTTCACATAGGGTAGGCAGACCGAGGCTGTTTTTTGAATGTTGTTATCATCTTGTACACTTCTATTCCAGTTCATAGGGGGCTGCTGTCATGTTAGTTGTCACGTTGTAGAGTATTTCTTATACTGACCATTTCTTGTTTATATGTCTCTGGGTCGCCACTTGTGACTTTTACTCGATGTCGAAGGCAGCGGACGACCCCTTTCTTTGCACTGTATGGGTAGTAGGAGTCGAAGTTGAGGTATTGTCCGCCAAATGTTGGTTTGGGGTATACGGATGTCTTGAACCGATGCTCTGTTCGAGATATTAGTACACCCAGGAATGCTAGCCTCTTGCTGCTTTCTCTTTCCTTTGTGATGTTTATCTATGGTGTTATTGAGTTCGCATGGTCCCGTAGTAACTGGACCACTTCCTGGTGAGGCCAGAGTATGAAGGTCTCATCTACGTACCTTAAGTGTAGAGCTGGCTTTAGTAATGTGGATTCTAATGCAATTTCTTCGAAATATTCCATGTATA